GAGAGAGAGTCTCAAGCAGACTCCATGCTGAGTGGAGCCTGATGTGGGGCTCAATCTCATGACTCTGAGATCACAACCTAAACCGAAACCAAGAGTCAGACACTTAACTGACTGCACCACCCAGGCACCTCTATCTCTGAAGATTTTAGAGAAAAGGACAAATATTGAAAGATTTAGTAAGTTCCATGATGACCCTTTTCTTCCCTTGCTATTCTAGCTATAAAGATAAATAGTTGGGTTCTTATTTTTGCTTGTCCACTCCCTCTCATGCACTTGATTTTCTTCCTGCTACGTTGAGTAGAGGATACGAGGCTTGAAGAGTTGTTCGTTTGTTTTCCATTTCACGTTTCTAGCATTAATGGCAGGAGACATCAAAACAGGCACAAACTTCGATTTGAGTCAAATTTAAGATGGTTTTCCTTGAGTTTGAAGTAGGAGAATCTTCATTTCTTTCTACTTTAAAGATAGTAATTATGTGATAGGTCTTTTTACTAGTGTATATAGAAGCCTATTATGGTAACAGCAAATTTACATCAGGGTAATGTAACAAAATTAAATGAAAATTATTTTTTATTTTGCATTACTCTTCTTCTTATACAAGTGAACCTAGTACTAAATTGGAACTTCCCAAAGAATGTTTTGAAGCACAGTAACCTCGGTGGAAACAAACATGCCAGGTTTTTTATTACAATAATTATTTTATTCTCACTGTTCATTAATTAGATTATATGTAGCAAAACCAGAAAAAATTAGGTAAGTTCATTGTTTTATTTAGGCACTGACTGGTTTTTGGTAAGTTAAATAGCATCCCAATTAGAATTCTATTCTTCTCCATATTTTTATTGCATTTTCTATTTTTACTTTCAACTTGTAGTGCTTAAAATTCAATAAGATGTTAAGAGATAAGCCAGAAATGTAGACTATTACAGAAGCCTAGGAGATTTAGTTAATCTGACCTAGATGTTCTTTTGATGATTGAGATTTATAATGTGAAAACAGTTCTCAATTTCAAAATGAAACAGGAATATCTGCCATATAAGTCAGCTGTCCTGCCAGTGACAGGCAGATTAATCAGCCACAAAAAGGAAGCGTTTACCATGAAAGTTGTGCTATTTAAATCATTGGCATTTGGATCAGCAATAAGTTGAAGTTGTAAGTGAATGTAGTCCTTGCATTTTGCCTTCTTCTAAAGAGGACGGTGCAGTAGTTTTGAAAGGGCTTTTTGTATACATTTGATTTCATTTGGTTTCATTTTCAGTGTAATGCATGTGAAATCAAAGAGGTAATGTGGGAGAATCCTTGAGTAGAAATTGTGTGCAAATGCACATACTAATGATATTTGAGAATATATTTCAGCAGTTGATCTATTCAGCATTTGTTTCCCAAGTATCCCAAATGCGCATACTTGCACAGTCAGAATGAGAACACTTTTACAACTTGTACTGTACCAGTTTTTCTGTCATTCTGCCAAAGCTCTGAGATGTTAGTGTCTGCTTCGTTTCTTAATTTAACATTGTACAGTATTATTTTAAGGAATAAAAAATCATGAGGACTTCTAAGTAAGAGATCAGATTTGAGGGATCCCTGGTTTAGTCAACAGAGCTGAGTGGAGAAATCAGTGGAGGTACCTCCTCTAGACTGGAACAGCCAGGGCTAATGAGTATGTAGTTTTCTTATCATAATGCTGTGATTGAAATGTAGTATTTAATGGGGAAACCCTCTTACACATGATGAAAATACTATAGTTAGAGTGACAAATCCTTGGAATTATGTGTGAATTAGTTTGCCTTTTATTCCAGTATCCAAAATTATAAACTAAGTGCTTTGAAGCCAGAGTTACTGACTAAACCCTAGTAATTTCTGATTGAGGATATAACATATATCTCAGTAATTGAAATAAACTAAGACTGTGAACTAATTTTAAGTCCTTAGCTTGTTTAAGTACGTCACTCTTTACACATTTAGTTTTAGATAGTAGGCAAGCATTTGTGGTAGTCAGAATACTTTTATCACTAAATTTTACAAAGCATGTTTCTTTTAAAAGTAAAAGCCATTGGTTTATTGTTGTGATGATGGTTAATAAGTTTGTGGAACAATAATTTTTTTTTTTTTTAAAGATTTTATTTATTCATTTATTTGAGAGAGTGAGAGAGAGAGCACATGAGAGGCGGGAAGGTCAGAGGGAGAAGCAGACTCCCTGCCGAGCAGGGAGCCCGATGCGGGACTCGATCCCGGGACTCCAGGATCATGACCTGAGCCGAAGGCAGTCGCTTAACCAACTGAGCCACCCAGGCGCCCCTGGAACAATAATTTTTGCTTCCTGAATCCATTGGGATCTCTGAAGTGTGTGTGTGTTCAATTTGACATCTTTTGCAGTTGATTTAGTTCACCGAGTTAAGGTTTCTTTTTGAACTAAAGAAAGTTCAACCATTTTAATATTTAAAGATTTATGGAATGAAAATTGACCTGCAAAGCAACATTTTGACATAACCCAAATTTTCTGGATACTGGTTAAAAATAGGTTATTGTTTATGCTCTGTTTTAATCCTAAAAGTCTTTGGTAACTGTGGTATTAAGTTATAGGTTTCTTTTATTATAGTATTTGGGAAGGAGGCAGCAAATTCATTAGAAAGAGAACTATTGTCTTTGAGGGAAAATTAACATTTAGCTAAGCCTTACCTCATGTGTTATGTGATGATTTTATTTTACAGACTCCAGGCATTAGAGCTCGATCTACAAGACTTCAGTGGTTTTGTGATAGATGTATTTCAAGTAATCAGGTTTGTGTTTAATTTCTGGTCTCGAGCACCTAAAACTGTGAGTAGAAAGCAGGTGTCCTTTCTACATGTCATATGAGCATTAGGGGATTTCGGGACATACAGCCTTATTAATGGAAGCAGCATTATTTTGGTTTTCCAAATAAGCAGTAGCTTAATTCTTGTTCCTGAGGTTCAGTAGAATCCCTAAAAATTTTAATTTGGGCCCTGAAGATTTTAGCTTGCTTTATCCTAGTTGTTGACTTGAGCAGGCTAACCTTGTTTCCTTTGCAATTTAAATCTGCTTCAGTCCTTAGTGACCAGAGGAGTCACTTATGGGAGCCCAGTGGAATTTCTACTTGACGTCTCCTCCAGTGCAGATATCTGTTCATATCCTGCCAAGTGAAAGCCATAGGGGAAGAGGAGTATAACACTTGGGTAGAGGAGTATTCTTATTAATAATAAAGGATATACTCACTGAGCCCTCTACTGCAAATATCTTTGAATTCTTCAAAATGCATCTTCATGGAGGTTCCCTTAACCAGAATACTGTTCATGTTTTGTTCTTGACTACAGAGTCCTTCAGCTTTTTAACTTTAAAAAAAAAATTGCTGGGGCGCCTGGATGGCTCAGTTGGTTAAGTGGCTGCCTTCAGCTCAGGTCATGATCCCAGGGTCCTGGGATCGAGCCCCGCGTCAGGCTCCTTGCTCAGCGGGGAGCCTGCTTCTCCCTCTCCCTCTGCCTGCCTCTCTGCCTATTTGTGCTCTCTCTCTCTCTGTCAAATAAATAAATAAAATCTTTAAAAAAAAAAATTGCTTTTAATTGTGGTAAGCTACATATATAACATAAAATTTATCGTTTTAACCATTTTTAAGTGTTCACTTCAGTGGTATTAAGTACATTCACACTGTTGTGCTCGGCTCTTTAACTTTTTTTTTAAGATTTTATTTATTTATTTGAGAGAGAGAGAATGAGAGACAGAGAGCATGAGAGGGAGGAGGGTCAGAGGGAGAAGCAGACT